GGGTGTTTTCACATTTGGTCCCTTTTATATGAACCAAACTGAGTCCTCTTTAAGTGGACTAAAATGAGGACCAACAAAAATGGGACTCGCTTCTTACCATGTTGACATTAGGGGTTTTCCCATTATAGAACTCACTGAAACCCGTCGAGCCAAGTAATGCTCGTCATGGGTTCTGCATTTTTTTCCACTATGGTGCATCCACTTTGGAGGTTTGTTCTGGGAGCTAAATTTCAGCACCCCTCAGGAGGTAGTACTAAAATCTAGTACCAGGAATGCAAGGGGGCAAGGGGCGCATGTGTGCAGATTAGTTATTGGTGATTGGTTAAATGTCTGTTGTCTTCATGCCTCAAGTATTAGCATTACAAGCACCGTGGTTAAACACACCACTGACTGTGTGTGTGAGAGGGGAGCAGCTCCTACCTCCTCTAAACAGAGACCGACGGAGAAAATACAGTGGAAAAACAAAGCAGGATGGTCCACATCAACCTAGGAGGCTATGCTTGGTAACGGTTAAGGGAAGTATGTGATATACCACTCGTTAGGTTCCAACAGTGGAAACGCAGCAACTGTGAGTACATTTGAAAGAAGGCTCAGTCCTCTTTCTGGTCCACCTTGGTCTGATAGAGCCTCAGTCTTTTTTCTCTTCATACAATAGTGACCCTGGAGCTCTCAGACTTTTACTACTTTAGCATGTGGCTTTTACTCAAAGGATTCTCCATTTTTATCTCATTTTAATGCATGTGGTAAAGTACTTTTGATGTAGCTTTTTTTTGATGAGGCACTGCAGTGGGGTCCTAATGAAGCCCCCCACTTTCATAATAGCTGAAAGCTGAAGGACAACCTTGGCGTGTCTGTGCATTGTAGACAGTTGTAGTTTGATGTGTTCTTTAGAAAAGTGCAGCAGTTTCTTCCCACCAAACTACTGTTAGGTATTTTTAGTCAGATAGATATTGGATAGATACTTTATGTATTAGAAATGTTTAGTGGAGATAGGATGTCTAGTTAGACTGTTAAATGCTTAGTCATGCTTATGAGTTTCTACAGGGTACATCTGGTCAAGGATAACGTCATTTAAAAAAAACAACTGAACGCAAGACTTATTTGACAGTACTTTTACTGTGAGGGGCCTCCAGTCCATAATTCACTAAATCTACCACTGCTCTGAGCGTGAACTTCTGAACAACAGTTCCCATGATGCTTTGATCATTGCAGACTGAATTTATGAACGCACCCACAACAATCAGCTGACTAATGGTTATATTTAATCATGTACTTAAGTTCATATGAGTTAGTTAACCCTGTGCACTTAAATACATAACATACCTGGACAAAGAGAGAAGCTAGGAGCTCGTCAGTGGGAAACTGCGATCTGTGATGGACTTTCACTAGATATTGCAACAGATTGGTGACAGCAGTTCAGTGGGTAGAGCAGTCGTCTCCTGACCGGAAGGTTGGAGATTCGAATCTCGGTGCCTGCAGTCCACATGTCGAAGTGTCCTTGGGCAAGACACTTGACTAATTTCTACCAAACTACTCATCCATATAGGTATCATTAAGATATTTAACAGTACTACTACCGATACCGCTTATTAATCTGGCACTCTACTCCTGTTGGTTGCTTATTTTTCTTAAGTAAAAAAAAATTATATATATAAAATAAACCACTAGACTATAACGTCATTTAAAAAAACAACTGAACGCAAGACTTATTTGACAGTACTTTTACTGTGAGGTGCCTCCAGTCCATAATTCACTAAATCTACCACTGCTCTGAGCGTGAACTTCTGAACAACAGTTCCCATGATGCTTTGATCATTGCAGACTGAATTTATGAACGCACCCACAACAATCAGCTGGCTAATGGTTATATTTAATCATGTACTTAAGTTCATATGAGTTAGTTAACCCTGTGCACTTAAATACATAACATACCTGGACAAAGAGAGAAGCTAGGAGCTCGTCAGTGGGAAACTGCGATCTGTGATGGACTTTCACTAGATATTGCAACAGATTGGTGACAGCAGTTCAGTGGGTAGAGCAGTCGTCTCCTGACCGGAAGGTTGGAGATTCGAATCTCGGTGCCTGCAGTCCACATGTCGAAGTGTCCTTGGGCAAGACACTTGACTAATTTCAGTTCATTTTGAGGGCTTAAAGGGACCAAGTGTGAAAACACCCTTATACTACTAAGAGATATTAATCTAAACTCACTTTATAACTCTTATTTAGCTGTGGACAGGTACATTTACCACAGTAGTAGCAAGACCACTTGACTCTACAGTAGTCTCTCTCATGTGCAAGACCAGCCCTAAGACTGGTCGACAGTGTAGCTGTTCTTCCAAATGTAAAATTAGATGAACATGCCAGAAAGTAAATCTGACAGCTCACCTCAGCTGCTACAGTGCTGTAATTGTTAGCTAGAGAAAAGATTCAAACATTAATACCGAATGAACTGGATGTAAGAAAAGGATTCATCTGGAGATTTCTCAGCTCTTCTCCCTTCATCTACTCTTCTTCCTCTTCCTCATCATCATCTTCGTCGTGGCAGTGGGTAATCTCCTGTGGAGCCTGAGGAAATAAGTGGGGGGGCTGGATCTCGCTGATGGATCGTGTGAGCTGGTGCCGTTTGCACTCCATCTCCTTGAAATCAGCATCGTGGCGGTTTCGTGTGGCCAGAGGAGACTGTGTGTCGATGATGTTGACATGGGTGTGCTCCACTGTTGATTCATGAGGCATCTAGGAGGGAGAGTTTGTAATGCTGTGAATCAAAAATACATTAAGTGCAGAAGACAGAGGTTATATAATATTTGCCCTGAGTGAGTGCTGTTCGTGAATCTCACCAGTACATGCGCAGCTCTAAACAGATAGCTGAAGGGGTAGTAGAGCAGGTTGATGAAGGAGGCGGCATACAGGTCAGCGTAGCGCATCACCTGGGAGGCGAACAGTGTCTGACGGGAACCGCTGCGGAACAGACTTCCCATCATGCCATAGCACATGTCCATGTCATGGGTCACTTTCTGGAGAGGACAGAGGCACACATGAAAAAATTTCATTTATTAGTATTTGTCCTCAGAAGCAAAGAGGTGAACAAATAACATGTAAGTTCAATTCTAAAAGAAAAAAAAGAAAAGTAACAGTTATAAATAAAACATATGTTCAAATCTAAAACAATGTTAACACTAATAATAATGAAACTAGAGTTACAGCTTTGCAGCTGTACAGATACAGTGACCTGGACCACCAAAATGTAATTAGGTCATCCTTGAATCCACTTGTGCCAAATTTGAAGAAATCCGCTAAAGGTGTTCCTGAGATACTGTATCACGTTCAGCATCAGATGAAGTGAAGCATATTACTCAAGTTGACAACAGCTAAGCTTGTTACTGTACATGCAATAAAACCTCCATGAATAAAAAGTCATTAAGACTAATTTATTGAAACTCCCACCAAACAAGCATAAACTTGCAGAGAAGTGATAATTTCAGCTTTGCTTGTTGTCTGTCATGCACTGGCTGTTTGTATTAATGTACACGCTTGTTAAGCTTCCTATGAACAAACTACAATGATAGATGACTATACAGTATGTAGCCTTACTGTTAAATAGGAGGGAGAGAGATGGATGTGGCTGTGTCATGGTGAGCCCAGCAGACTGAACGATTTTTTTAGGTTATGACTGGTAATACTGTTAACCTGAAGGAGCAAAGTTTTGTTTTTTAAAATAAATGTAGAGGAATCAGTCATTTGAATGGTCAATCACAATTAGGTAGATAGGAATACTTAATTTGTTCTTCAGTTGAATCATAAAGTTAAAAGAAACCCCACTGTTAAAAGACAAGTTTTTTCAAGTTCAATAAATGCATGTTTCCAAAATCAATGAGTAAGTGTATTAAACATTTATCTCAATACTGACCAAAATAATCGTGATTATGATTTGTGTCAATCTTGCAGCCCTACATGGAGGCATAATAAAGTGAACAAAACTTCTCTTTATGAGGGAAATATACACCCAGTAACTGTGGGGATTACAGTAACAAAATGCCTTTAAGCATATAACCAGAGTATATGATCTGCAGTTTATCTGTTTACACCGTATTCAGTACTTTGCACAAGGCTGATAGGCATTTTTCACATGTCAATTAATGGCACCATAAAAAAGTCACACCATAATATGCTGAACAGTAGTAGTAATGGAAATATTAGCAACTAAACCTTTTCCTTCAAAATCTCATACTGGTTGACTGCTATGGATTTCTATGACTAGTGGTGTTCTTTTTTTTTCAATGAGAGACATTAGGAAGGCTCATGCATGGCAAGGAAGGTTGTACCTTAATCCGTCTTTGCAAGGAGCTGATGTCAGGCCTCTCATTGCTGCTACTGTCTAGATGCCTGAGGACAAAACACAAGTGTACTGTGATCTATAGGCACAGATTGATTTACAATGTAGTTTGCATACTAGCTTCACAAACTCTGCAAGGCAAGAATGATTAACCTGCTTCCAATTTCTATACTTCTGTCTGTAAACGGAGACAAAATGTGACTGGGCTTCAGGTTTCTGTTGATTTCGGGTGGTCTACTGTATATTTCACTAACTAAAACAGGCAATTTTGGACCAAAGAGGGACTTAGTTCTAGGGACTACCCACTGGGGACTTCGCCCAAGAACATTTAGAGACCACAGTTAGACCTTACATTACCATTAAGTGTTTTCTTCATATATTGCTAACACTAATTATATAAGGCGCCACTAACCCTTTGCAGAAGCTTCTGATGGCAGACTGCAGCTCCCCATACTGCTGGTGATGGCTATCTATTGCTATAGCTTACACGGCTGACACAGTTTTTAAAAAAATTAGTAGTAGTAAGTTAGTAGTGCTGCAGCCAACGCACACGTACATAACTCATGGTTCCTGTTGTTCTGGGAGAGTACCTGCCCTGAAGTTGGAGCTAAAAGAGTCCCTCAAAATGGCATTCTAAGAACTATTATCGTTCTCAGTTCCTGCCTTGCAGACACACAAAAAAGGGGGTACTTTGTCCAATAGTTCTGTGAGCTATTAAAAGGTTTCTCTGGTCTGAAAGTGCCTAAAGTGACCATAAAATAATTCTCTGAAGCTCAAGTCAATAAAAGAGAAGTTGGTATTTTGATTTTGAATGAAACATGCATTTGAATCAGCGTAAAAAACTGAAACTTAAATGTGATTAAAACAGGAATATCATTAAAGCACAAATCAAATTCAAATTTATTTGTATAGTGCCAAATCACAACAAACGTCATCTCAATCAATCAATGTGGTTCAATAAACTCTGACTACAAATGTACAGAGGCTGAAGAGAACTACACAAAACCTTATACAAAATGGCAACCTGTATGTATTGGATTGTAAATGAAATAGGGGCATTATTTCTTGCTACATTTCTCCATAACAGCAGGGACAGACTTATTAACTTGTCAAAACTAAATAATCTCACAAATCATGACCCGTCAGGAAAGTTTAAAGTATATTCAGCAATTCTAATTAATTAATTACACATTTTTGCATATTCAACAAATTTTTCACACATCTGGTGTTTCGGAAAATTCACAACATCACTGCGCAGCTGCACTTCTACAGTCTACACGGCTCTTCCCCGAGTAACCAGTATCGTTGAGAGATTATGAAGGTCACGGCTACAAAAAACGAACTGAAACAAGTTGTAGTTTTGTGTACTTGCTGATCAAAATGTAAACATTCTTTTGATAGAATCGCTGACTACACCTTTAATAAGAGAGGTGCAACTGAAAACATTTTGAAATAGTTGACCCCATTAAGTGTGTACTAAAACTTTTATGCTGGTAAACATTTTGAATATAATCTTCTTGTACTAACATCTGACTAATGTTGCCCCTCTGCAATTCTTTGAAACAACACACAGCAAGACACAACAAACAGTTGCCTTAACAAAGAAGAACTCACTTGTAAAGCTCTGCCAGGAAACATTCCAGTGACTGAAGTTCCTCAAATATGGCTGAAAAACAAAGACTGGCATTAGAAGATCACTTCGCATTCCTGATGTTTTTAAAAACCACATACTCCCAACATATGACAGCATTTTCTTTCTTTAAACACACTTGTATGTTTTACTGATGGGCCTGGCACTGAGCTGAGCTTCAGTGAATTCCTTTATGGTCACATTGTACATTGCAATGTACTGCACACTACTAGTTATTTATTTTACTATTTTTACATTGTAGAACAATACTGAAGTCTTTAAAACAATGACATAGCACATACACTCACCGGCCACTTTATTAAGTACGTTATATTCAGAGGTGTCTCTATATTTTTGTCCTCCCCGGCTACATACTGTACATGACAGGGTCAGATTAGGAACACCTCTGAATATAATGTAGTCCAGTACAACACCACCTTTGACTATGACCTCAATAATAAACATACCATTGAACTGATACATTTATGACAATTTCACCAAAAACTGAAACATTCTGAGCTTCATGAACACAGATGTGAAGGCGGAAGTGTTGCATTGAAGCACATACAGTTGTGCAGGTGTACCTACTAAAGTGGCTAGTGAGTGTATAAATTATGTAGTAAACAAAAAAAGTGTTAAAAACAAAACAAAACATGTTTCATATTTTAAATTCATCAAAGAAGCCAACTTTTGCTTTGATGACACCTTTGGAAGCTACTGGCATTCTCTCAACCTGCTTCACGAGGCAGTCACCTGGAATGCTTTTCCAAAGGTCTCAAAGGCCTTCCCATATATCTTGAGCACTTGGTGGCTGCTTGTCCTTTACTCTGCTGTGCAATTCATCCCAAACCATCTCAACTGGTATTAGGTCAGGTCAAATAGCCCTTACATAACCTGGAGGTGTGTTTTGGAACATTATCCTTTTGAAAAACAAATGATGGTCCCATTAAAGCATAAGCTAGATGGGATAGCATGTTGCTGCAGCATGCTGTGGTAGCCATGCTGGTAAAGTGTGTCTTGAATTTTGACTAAATTACCAACAGTGTCACCAGCAAAGCACTCCCACATGGCACACTTCCTTCATGCCTGAACAGTGGGAACCATGCATACCGGTACCATCCGTTCACCTTCTCTGTCTCTCCCTAAGAGACTGCGATTGGAACCAAATATCTCAAATTTGGACTCTTCAGACCAAAGGACAGATTTCCACTGGTCTAATGTTATTCCTCATGCTGCTTTGGCCGAAGTGAGTGCCTTCTTTTTGTCGGTCTCCCTGCAGCAATTCAACCATGAAGGCCTGATTCACGCAGTGTCCTCTGAAAAACTGGTGTTGATATATGTCAGCTACTTCAACTCTGTGAAGCATTCATGTAGGCTTGAATCTGAAATACTGTTAATTGGTGATTTCGGAGGCTGGTAACGCTAATGAACTTATCCTCTGAAGGAGATGTCTTCCTTTCCTGGAGAGGTCCTCATGGCAGCCATTTTCATCATAGCGTTTCATGGTTTTTGTGTGTTATTGCCCTTTTCCATACTGACTGACCTTCATGTCCTAAAGTGAAAAGTAACTCATTTTCTCTTTACTTATTTGAGAGGTTCTTGTCATAATATGGGTTACTACAACTGTCAAATAAGGCTATTTACAGTATACCAGTACTACCTTGGCGCAGCACAACATTACACATTAAGGCAAAAATTTCCACTAATTACAGTAACCTCTGACAAGTCACACCTGTTACCTGAAAACTATTCCAGGTGCCTACCTTCATGAAGCTGGTTGAGATAATAGTGTGCAAAGGTCCCATCAAGGCAAAACTGGCTACTCTGAAAAATGTACAATATGAAACATTTTGTTTTCTTAAACACTTCTTTGTTTACGCCACAATTTCCTGTGTTATCTTATAGTTCTGGTGTCTTAAGTATTGCTTTTTGCTCATTTGTTGGTTTAGAGGTAAAATGGCAACTACAGTAAGTGGAGAGTGGGAAAAGTGTCAGCAGTGTCACCCTTCGTAAGTTTATGTTCTTGTTCAACAGAGCTTCGATAAATAGCTGATATAGTCTAGTTAGTGCAACAAAATTTGCACTAACAAGCACATTCTGCTCAGCTGTTTGTGTGTAGGAGCCCAACCCTGTCCTTATCTAAACAGGACATTCTGGGCACAGGAAAATGTTTTTGCATGCACACAAATATTTTGAGGAGACATTATTATCACACTTAGAATACTTTACTTTCAGCAAGCAGAAATATATTCTTATTATTCTTTAATTAATTTAATTTAATTTAATATATATGCATGTTTGCAACAAATATCATTTGTGTGTGTGCAAAAAATATTTTCCTGCACTCCGGTTGTGTGCTTAGGAATATCAAAATTTAACACCAGAGAAAATCAAAGCAGATCAAACCGCATCAGCCCATGAGGTTATGCCAGGAAAGAGTTAGGGGAAGCTAGTTGGGTTCCCACAGTGTAGAAGAAGCCTTGGAGCCCAATGTTTGTCTCATCAGACCAAAGGCTTTTTTCCCTTTGGCTCTCAGTGTCTTTAAATGTCATTTGGCAATGCCAAATGGACTGTCATATGCCTTTTAGTCAAAGTGGCTTCTGTGCAGCCTCTCTAGCATTAAGGCCTGAAAGATGGGATTATAGTGTTCCTTCCAGCAGGTTTTCCATCTCTACAGAGGATTTCTGAATCTCTGTTCAAGTTGGGATCTAGGTCACCTCCCTGACCTAGGACCTTCTTGCCTGTTAAACACTCTCTCTGATGCCTAACCTCAAACTTTTATGGTGGAGGTCTACAGAGAGTTGTTTGAGCTCAGTGACTTGGTTTTTATCCTAACATGCTGCGTGAACTATGGGACCTTATTTGCACAGGGGTGTGCCTTTCTTAACTATGCCCAGTCAATTCAGTTTGTCATAGGTGAACTACAGTTAGGTTCTAGACACATCTCAAGAATATTTACAGGTAAAGCAAACAGGATGGACCTAAAAACGTTTTCAATGGGCAAAAATGGCAAATTTAGACATAAAAAAATCAGTCTATAACACAATTAAGTCTGTAAAAAGTGAAGAGGTCTGAATACTTGTTGAGGCAACTCTTAAGTATGACTACTGTATGTACAGTATGTGTCCTATCTCACAGCTCTTATCGGTCCACACATGCAGCTCCTGGGCCAGCTCAGGTATCACCAGGAAAGTCCTCCAGCCTTGGCGCTTCTTGGATTTGAGAATGTCACCAAAAATGTGGTCTCCAATGTAAAGGATGTCCTTGCCTTTAGCACCCAGCAAGTCACACACAATATCTGAAGAACCTGGGAAAATACATATGCCATTTTGGTTACTTTTACTGACAGTATCTAAACCTAAAGCAACAGTCCATGACTGCTTTATATAAAGTTGCAGTGATAGCTGAGATCCAGCCTCTACCAGGTTTCTGTTACATTTGCCGTTTCAAACAGTCAGTGTTTCAGCACCAACATGGATGTGTTTGGGTTTAAAACCATGTGATGTTACAAATCAGTCAAAGTTTAAAGATGCAGTATGTGAGATTTAGTGACATCTAGCGGTGAGGTTGCAGGTTGCAGCATTATACAAGGCTTTCATGCATCATATTCAACAGCCCTCAGCCATTTCATAGAGAATACCATAAATGTAGGTCAAACTGTGCACTCAGAAAACAAGGAAAAGCTGAAGGTGGTTCACTTGACCACAGTGTAATTTTCAAAAAGGAGGAATATACAGTATGCACATTAAGATGTGCAATAATACCACTGTATTCCTGAAACTTATTAGCAAATGCTCAGCCGGACTTTAAATGTCCGCTCTTGGCCGCTCCAAGCGCTCTTATCATAATTGCAGAAAAAGAAGTGCAACAAAAGTCGAATGGCAGCTAGCTTCACCGGGATTTCGCAAATGACAGATCACCTGAATGCAGTAATGTTAGCCTGGTTCTTTGTGTCTTTGCTTCTTTGACGAGGGGGATTCATAGCATCTTCCTTTTTCCTTGTATTAAAGTTTAACTATGATTAGCCCTCCACTTATTAGGGCTGCAGGTATCCGAGCACCAGCGGTGTTGGAAGCCTATAGTTTTCACTGTAGTTTTCTATTATCATTATTAATACGCTAGTAGAAGCAGTTGTGGAAACCATACAGATTGCAACAATCCTATTTTAAAGGAAGGTAGCATTGTGTGTGAATAAGGGCCCCACAAAAAAAACAAACAAACATGAAATTCACGCCAGTGTGTGGTTTGTCCACTCTGGGCAACTGTAAAAAACATGGAGGCCTCCATGATGGGAAAAATCTGCTCCTATGTAGATACTATAAAAGGCTCATTCTAAGCTAAAGAAAATGCAATGATTCTTATTTTCTGGTGATTAAACATGAATGAAAACAATCCATTTGTGTTACGTTTTTTTATTTACCTCCTGAGTAAACAATACCATGCTGGAGAGGCCCAGTGTATGTGCCAATCTTCAGGCGACCTGTCGTCTAAAAGGGGATCAAAGGATCAATCACACACATACAGTATATTATATTTATGCATCTTTACACAGCAAAACTGTGAATAACCGAAACCTTCTAAACTAGAAACAATTTAAATACTGCACTCAAATATAAGCAATGTAAGGTACACACTCACAGTGTCAACCTGTCGCAGCACTGTTCCCTCTCCAAAGAACATAGGCTTCCGGGCATCCACCAGGATCAGGTCAAAGTAAGACTGCCAGGGCTGGTGGGGTGTGCCAGGCTACAATAGAGTTTGTACAGCTATCTTTGAGAAGCTACTTAATGATTTCATGAATTCCCTAGTCCTTTACCCTAATGTTCATCATCCCAAGTAACCACCTCACCCCAGCCTAACCTGAACCTAGTTCTAACCTTAACCCCAAAACCAAGCAACAGTCCCCTCAGTCCCAATATGTCCTCAAAAAACCAAACTATCAGTCCCCTCAGTCCCAATATGTCCTCAATCCCATTTTATAACACTCATTATAAACAGTCATACAAGTATGTAAACACATGCACATTTGTATAGCAGTCTTTGTGAGGATGCTCACTGACATAATGCATTCGCTAGCCCTTTAGCACAACCCCATACAAGCACACACAGAGACACACACCCAAACACTTGTTTGCATCCATCGTTGGGACTTTACACTAAGTTACATTCAATTCCTGGAGACTAATCCTAACCTTAAACATCATTTATGACTTCTATGGTGTTTAAGTCAATCTATGTCCGTTTCTCATTTGTCTCTCTTGAATACCCTATTGTCAAACCATTTGTGATCCAGAAATTTCTGTGTCTCACTGTGGTTCAATTCTTATCTATTCAGACTTTAACTAATCATCAGTGTTACCTTTGGTCCATGAGGAAAGTCAAACAGGTAGGTCATAATTTTCTGTAAGAAGGCATGAGAGTTTTTTTTTAGCATAGTGGTCCAGAATAACACAGAAATAAAAGCAAGTTACACCTACACATCACCAGGGATTATTACTTCATTAACTTACAGTGCTACCATTTATGTGTCTAAAATAATTTGTAATTTAATGTGCTTCTCCACAGAAACAATAAACAATTAAAAAAAAAGATAGTTTCAGGTTTGCTTTAAGCATTCATTAATAGGCCTGACTGAATGTCACCTCACCTCTGTGTATTGGTAGTCACTGTTGGTGGCCAGAAATACTTTTGCTAATTCATTCATGCGACTTAGGAGGAGAGGAAGCTTTGGCTTGGAGGAAGAACAACACAACAAACATCAACAACACAGACACAGTGAACAGCAAAAAAGGCCTTATTTCACTAGTAGTACAGTATTTCTCATCCCAACTATAAAGTAAAAGCAGTGGCGGAAGAAGTACTCAGATTGTTTACTTAAGTAAACAGCAATAGTAAGTAGCAATACCAAGGTGTAAAATAAAGCCTTGCATTTGAAATGTTACTTAAGAACAAGAATCTTAGCAAAAAAAAAAAAAAAGTACTCATTATGCAAAACGGCACAGTTTACATTGATGTACCTAATATTATTCAGTTGTAATTACTGATGCATTATTATGTACATTCCATTTAATGTTGAAGCCGGTAAAGGTGGAACTACTTTTAACTACCTTTTATGCACATAATGTCAATTACTGCTGGTGAATTTTACACCAAGGATCAATAAATCTTGTGATTATACTGTTGTCAATATTTTATTTTATTAAACTCTATTAAACTCTAGACCAAATAAAAGTAGTGAGTACAAAGTACAATATTTTTTTCTGAAATGTAGTGAAAGTATGAAGTAGCAGAAAGTGAAAATACTCCAATACAGTACAGATATCTCAAAATTATACTTAAGTACAGTACTTGAGTCAATGTACTTAGTTACTTTCCATCTCTGAGTAAAAGTCTAAGTTAGTATTTAGTTTACTTACATCCTTTACCACGTACTTTTCCAGGTTTTCAACAGTTTTTTCTTTTAAGGACCCCTGTGAAAATAAATACAACAACAATGGACAGAGGGCTATGGGAGAACTGAGCACTGAGTACGGGAGATAATCAGCAGTTGTCTGGAAGCAGATTTCATGGACTGTACCTTGAAATGAATCCAGTCCACAGCATCTCTGACGTCCTGAAACATGCTCTTGTAGGACATGAAAAGGTCGCCATCTTTGAAGCCAGTCTCACAACTACAGAAATGATTAAAATGGTGTTAAAAAAGAGTGTGCATAACATGGAATTACGTGGGTCAGAAATGACAACAATTCAGTGATGTAGACACTACTAAATCATGAAATAGGAACCTATTCACAAGGTCACATAAAATTTCAACCAGCGTTCTGTATGTAGCAGTGAGTATGCAGTACCTTGAATATCTGGAGCAGTTGCTGAAGAAATCAACCAGGCAAGCAAAGAGGTAGGTTTCTGAGCAAAAAGACAGTGAGACTGACTGTGGAGATGAATGTCAGATGAATATGACAAAGCTATTTTTAAAAATAAAACCACAGTTGCATGAAATTGTCGATTTTTATAAATTCAACGACTATTCGAATACTTGAAAATCATTGCCCATCCCTAATAATCCGCTCCCAGACACTGCACCAATCAGATTACACCACAACTATCATCAGTTGGAGCCAACAATTCACAGCCCCTGGAGAACATTAATATAGATGGCTAAAACCCTCCTGGGGATAAGGGTAATTATGTTTTATTTTAAATCTATTATGTTATAAATTACATGTTTATACACACAAATTATCACAAGCCTGATCAAAAATTATGCCTAAAGCCTGACTGTAAAAACAGTAGCCCTAACTATGCCATAGATTCACCTTAAATACCTTTAAGTCTTACATTTATGATGATATCATATTAATACTTGGCCTTTTATGACTTTTAAGATTATAAAAGTTGGTGAGGAGTTGTGTTAAATATAAAGGTATGTGTCAATCAAGATATATGCAAGAACAGGCTCAATGATTAATTAGATGGAACATTGTGGGTGTGGTGTATGAATGTTAACACTTTGTAACAATTCTTTAGTATATTACTTGTGTGGTGTAGAAGATAATTATTTAAGAATGTAATTATGTAAGAATGTTAACACTGTTATAATTGTTTTAGTATAATACTTGTGTGGGTAGAAGATAATTATTTAAGAGTGTAATTATGTAAGAATGTTAACACTGTTATAATCTTTTTTTTTAGTATAATACTTGTGTGTGCGTAGAAGAGAATTATTTACTGCTTGCAAACCAATGATGGTAAGATGATGTCATGGGGTAGGACTGGATAAGTCTGACTTCTTCCTACTCCATTCAAGCATGTACTAGGTATAAGCACATTGATATTGGATTATGTGTACAATCATGTGTGTTGTCATATCAACTGTCTTTACATGCTTGAAAGAAAGAATAAATCAAATCAAACTATAATTACTGTTGTATTCTGTCTTACCAGGCAAGTTGAAGAGTGTGTTGAGGATGTAAAAGCGGTCTGTGTCTCCACGTTGAATAAATTTGTTGGGGTACATCTCTCTAATCTCAGGTCTATACAGAATGAGTAGAGATAGATTATACAGGAGGGGAACGTGTAATGAGGTACTTCAAACCAAAAAACAGAGTTATACAATTTTTGCATAATATTTAGCATTTCATTACATTTCTGTAAACTCACTCTGCAGTGGTCGCAGGTGTGTAAGTGCTTTTCATGTAAACACGTGAATTTTAGGATTAGTCACTAGTGGTTAAAGAATTTAAGGCATCATTTGACTTAACTGGCTCTAGTGATTTAATGGGTTGGTGCATTTAAACACTGGGTTCACTTCAACAAAGGCTGGGTTCATTGTGTGCTAAAACACCCTGAGGAAGGCGAGTGTGCTGCGATGCGTTTGTGAAAGTAATTAGACCATATTTAATGAAGGCTTTCTTTAAACCATCCATTTGAGTGCCTGGAATTAGATTTTTATACCACACCCACCCATATTTTTGCTCCTCCAAGAGTGCAGGTCCTTCAAGGGAAGCACTTCTCCTTTTCTTCAAAAGCTATAGGATGGACTGTCATCATATTTTGCACAAACACTTATGGGCCACAGAGGATGAGTCTTAGAAACTGCTCTGAGCTAGCACCACAAGCAGATGAAGAACTTATTCTGAGAGATATCTCAACATTAAGTGTTTGGATTAACACAATCCCCTGACTTTTTGTGCACCAAAATAAGGGCGACATTTGTGGTTTTAAATGAAATCTCAACATCTACTGAATGAATTGCCTTTAACTTTGCAACACACAGGAATTATAATAACGTTGGTGATCTTCTGACTTCAGGTCAAATTCCCAATGTGCTCAATACTTTGATTTATGACCAAATACTAGCAGAACTTTCCCATCTACTGTACCTCAGCAGTGCTTAGTGCTTAGTCCTTTTATATGTTCATGGTTAATTTAAAGAATACTCATATACAGTAGGTATAACACAGGAAGGGTCTAACAATGTGGATAACTACTAAGTTCTTTAGAAATGTGGTTGACAGCTCAGTGGGAGTAGTGGACCTCACCCTCTCAAGAAGGTGAATCCATGCACACACACCAGGATGTTCCCATAGGCATCAACTTTGAGCAGGTTGCCATATATTGTGTCAAACACCAGACCTCTGAGAAAAATGGGAAGAGGTGAGTGAGGACAAAAAATCTAAGAGAGAAAACAAAAACACACCAGTGAGAAATTGTTGGACTCATATTGTTATGGAAACCATGTCACATGATAGACATGTGGTATGCTGATTGCATTATTGTGTCTGAGCTTGATGCTAAACTTTCAGAGAGAACATGAGTGAAAGACTGAAACTGTCTGTGTTTGAAGAGATAAGATATTTCTTGTCTTCTCTCTAATCTAGCTTCAAAAATACACAGACAATAGACCGCAGGTGTGGGACAGTTGCCACTCGTGACATATAGATGCTTACATGATGACTTCGCTTCTAAGCCACGTCCACCGGGCGTGCCTCCAACTATATGATATACTGCATGAAGTGAATTTCTTTAGACAACTCTGTACCTTTGTGCTTGACTTGTCTCCTTGCTGCAAGTAAATTATTTGATAGACAATTCCAGTGACTTTGTCGCTTTATTCAAAGAAATTTTCTTAACAGATATTCAGACTAATTTAAAAATGCCAGGGCACTGTGAACTAGCCTGGTGGGGAAGGAGGGGTCGTAGACAAAGTTAAGCAGCTCTTGTGGATATCCAATGGACACCAGGCGTTCCACTGTCAAGTCAAAGCCCAGCGACTCATACTCAGGAGATTTATACACTGTACAAACAAAGAGGACAGGCAAAAAATTAACTTTGCAGGCCACGTGTAAGATGGTGTCGGCTTTGGCCACAGCGGTTTGTCCTTTGTGTTATCAATGCTGATACCAAAAGGGTCAAACTACACCTACCTGCCAGAGTGTAATCCATATCAAAACCAAAACACTTGATCTTCTCCATGGCCAAGCTGCGGTTGACAAACACTCTGGAAGTGGAAAACAATATATGGTCAATCAGTGCATGACAAATGACAGGTCAAACTGAATGCTGCACTGCAGTTATATTTATACACAACCTTATTTGAAAAAATGTGTGATGCGGAGTAATTGTAAATAAAAATTGAATGAAATGTTTTGAAACCCCCTTTTACCCCATATTTATTTGGTGACAGCACAAACAAATCTAATTTTCAAATTAAATGATTTTGGTTTTAGATAAGCTTATTCAGAATTCAATGCCAGCAACACACACATTCCAAAAAAGTTGGGGCAGTTGCAACAGAGTACAAGAGTTGTGTAAAACAAACCAGGTCACAATCCTGACTGGATATAAAATGAGCATCCCAGAGAAACTGAGCCTTTTAGAAGTAAGGATGGGGTGAGGTTCACCACTGTGTGTGGCACATAGTTCAACAGTTGTAGACTAATGTTTCTCAATGTCAAATTGCAAAGATTTGGTGCTTCTCATCATACATATTGTCATGAGAAGATGCACACAATCCAAAGAAATCTATGTTAGCAAGGGACAAGGCCAAAGACCAATAATGAATGGCTGTGATCTTCTGGCCATTAGGGAACACTGTATTAAAAACAGACATGATTCTGTAGTGGAAATCACTGCATGGACAACAAAATCCAGACACATTGCCACCTTTTCTGGGCTCAAACTCAATTAAGATGTACTGAGACGAAGTAGAAACCTGTTCTGTGGTCTGATGGGCCAAAATTTGAAATTGTTTTTGGAACTCATGGACGGGGCATCCTCTGAGGAGAGGAACCATCCGGCTTGTTATCAGCCCGCAGCTCAAAAGCCAGCATCCGTGATGGCATGGGGGTGCATTAGTGCACACAGCATGAGTAACTTGCACATCTCTTGCACCATTAGTGGCGAGCAATATATGGTCAGGGAAAAAATTATTTGAACCCCAGCTGATTTTGTAAGTTTGCCCATTAACAAAGAAATGATCAGTCTACAATTTCAATGGTAGGTTTACTGTATGTGAACAGTGAGAGACACAACAATAACAAAAATATCCAGAAAAATGCATTACAAAAAAGTTATAAAGTAATTTGCATTTTCATGAATGAAATAAGTATTTGATCCCTTTGCAAAACGTGCTTTAGTACTTGGTGGCAAAACCTTTGTTGGCAATCACAGAGGTCAGACGTTTCTTGTAGTTGGCCACAAGATTTTCACACATCTCAGGGGGGTTTTTGACCAACTCCTCTTTGCAGATCCTCTCCAAGTCATTAATGTTTCGTGGCTGATGTTTGGCAACTCGAACCTTCAGCTCCCTCCACAGATTTTCTATGGGATTAAGGTCTGGAGACTGACTAGGCCACTCCATGACCTTAATATGCTTCTTCTTGAGCCAATCCTTTGTTGCCTTGGCCGTGTGTTTTG